AAAAGCTGAAAACACTCGTAAAACGTTATGTGGTGGAATCAGCGTGCGCGAAAACCCTAATACACAATTTTTCAGATTTTTTGAAAATTTTTTGTCACATGGCATAGTTCTCAATGATTCCACATGCTGGAAGTTCTTACCGTAATCTCACAGTAACGAAGGGTGATCGGTGATTCGATCGATACTGTAAATCAAAGTTGAAGCCTCCTCTACAGAATGGTTCTTAACTGACAAAAAAAGGCCAATTGAAAAGAGAGATATTGGCGATTGAAAAGTGTGTACTTACTTTTGGGACGCCCTGTATATGGTGCTGTTCATAATTATAAGTACACCCATCATTTAAGGGTTTCGAGACATTTTGGAAAAGCTTAGAAACCTTTGGTACTCTGTGACAGAGCATAGCCGAAACGGTACAAAATGAAAGTTGAGTTAATTTTGGAAATGTTTTCGCGCCGATTGCGACTTTCTAGCGGCTCATCATTATACGAACACTTCAAACGAAGCTCTTTTCTACTCAAAACTGCAACCTTTCGACTCAAATTTTTTTGTAAACTTACAGTAACAAAGTTTGAAACATCCGATATATACTGTACCCAGCGCGCTTAGAATGCTGGAGTCAGTGCGCTCCAAAAATGCCTGTTTTTCTGCGGTTGAAGCATCCATTTAGCGTCTTTCAAAGCTATGAGATAAATTAAGCTTTTTTGATGAATATTTTGTTTGACGCTTGGCAAATTCCCGTGTTCTCGTCGCGCTTTTCAACTAAATTCCGACCTTACCCTTATGTAAGCAAGATTTCGAACCTCAAGATTTAATTTATATAAATTTACTGCTAAGCTAAGCACACATTATGTACAAGTTTGTAAGATCTTTTATATGACCGCAAAAGTTCTACACTGAGCGTTTGTTTTGGCCGCGCAGACGTCATCTTCCACAAATGACTGTTTACTATTGCACTTATCCATCTACTGACTTTTCAGCTCCAAATCCTCAAGACTAGATCTGCAAGAAATCCAGACACTTCAGCTAGGACACATCAGCATACAAGCAATGTGATTGTTTCATCGCGACTCTTTGCGCAAAACAGAAGCTGATCTCTGAGGCTTGAGAAAGTTGAAACGTGGTTGGAAATCGCGACGTAAACACGCAGATTTTTCAAGCGTGATATCTAAAAAAGCTCATTCCACCTCATAGCATCGTGAGAAACTAATTAGAGTGCTTTAACGCAAAAAAAAACAGAAGTAATAGGAGCGCACTGACTCCAAACGCATTTTGAGCCTTGTGAGAAAATTAACGCTCCCCTTTTCAAACTGCGCTGGGTACTGTGTATAGCGGATATTTCAAATTTATTAGCGGAACTTTACAAAATGTTTGGTTCGAAAGATTGCAGTTTTGAATGAAGAAAGGATTCGTTTGAAGTGTTCGCTAATCATGAACCGCACCATAATTCGAAAAGCAGCCTGATGGCGCGGATTTACAGTGGTGAAGAAGCACATTCACCATAATCATTCGAAATCAGCGTATCAAAACGGGTACAATCATACATAGTTTGCTTTTTTATGGATTCTTACTCATCTGGAAGTTCGGAAACAATTTCAGCACAACGCTTTCAATTTGACCATATCTGCTAAGTTTTAGTTGTCTACAGTCGCTCCTTTGCATTTGCATATGCTTCCAACTAAGGTAAAGGCCAATCGTATAAAAGAATTCTTGTGGGACCATCAGCCTTTATTACCATTTCAGCTGACATACTTCCGGCTTCGACGGCCTTGTCGGTGTACTATGGTGGAGAACGCCATTACTTATTTCTACACAATATTTCCATCCTGGGATATCTCCCGCCTTGTAGTCTGAAGTTAGCAAAGAAATCGATAAAGTCGATATTCTTTGAGAAAAGTAGCCTACGACACCAGCCTATTGAAGAGTACGTGCGCAAAGTTTGGTCCGGATCGGTTCAGAAATAAGATTTTCCATTCAGAACTGCGAGCAGACACATAGAACAGCCGAAAGTCTGCTTTATTTATGAAATTTGAATAGAATATTGAAGATTTAAGGAGACAGGCTACAGAAATGAGCTTTAAATGTGGACGGATCTGACCATGCAGTTTTCGTTTTTAACATCATAAAAATCTCTGGATGCCGTGTAACGCTACTGACTACATGGGTTGAGTGACCCGCTGAACACATGTTTCCAAGAAAAATTGTGCTGAGTGGACACTGCCGAAAAGCAAATTTTGTTTGAAGGTTTCCGTTAAGCCCTTGTTGGATTGATAGAGGAGTTACATCAAGGAACTCGATAATCACTGGAAATGTTGCCTACTCGAGCCACCATTTTTTCCAAAAAGAAAAGATATCATGTAATCAGTAATTTTAGAGGAAGATGTATTATCAGCCAAAGTAACTAATAACATCACTTTACATAAGGTACACATGTGCAAAATATCGCTCCATCTCATATTTTATATTATTTGTTGCTAGCCCTCAAAAACATGGCAGAAAAAAAATTCAAGACAAAATCTGGTAAAGCCATCTTTTCCCGAAAAATTACTGGATTGCCGCAGTGTTGATGCGTGCTCCTTAAATTTTTCCTTACCATTTTTCACCATCAGACCTTCTTTTCGGAAAATTTACATATTATCATATTTCGAATTTCCTTTCATACTTTTTCTAAATGGTCTAAACAAGCTTTCCAGACTTGTCAGTTGAAGTCATTGAAGCAAACATCCGCATTCGAAACCGAAATTTGATTGCATTGTTTTTTTGACGAGAATAAACTCAAATAGATCTATTTTTTACACATAGCTCTTGGATGTGATGAGAATGGTTTGCTTTTGCGTGTTGGTCAGATTTCTCAAAACCGTTTCAATTTAGAGGTCGACGCCCAAAATGGGTAGATTTTGCAGGTGACTCAAAACTCTCAAAAGAGGGTGTTGCCAAATCTTATTCATCAAAACGTAAGACCAGGACATTTTTCAAATAATTTTTGCAACCTTAGCTGTTTTTTTACATACAAAGCTGAAACATTCCATTGTAGGACTTCAATGCTTCCAACAATCAAGCTCAAAACAGCTGGTCAATTTTGATTTTTTTGCTCGCAGATCTTCTTCGCTGTTTCCTTTCGAACTGCTTGGTCGTGGCTAGTTGAGCCCATTGTCGCGCATAAACAAAGAGTTATTATGTCAAAGACGGGGTTTGAAGAACGAAGTATCTGTTTTCCAATCTATAGTTACTTGCAAATGATGTCAGAACATAAGTTGGTGTTACATTGCAAAAGCTTGGTGCGCTTGACGGTGTTATAGCGCTTTAAATTACAAGATTACAGCATAAAAGTGAAATTTCGTACCATTTTGCACAAGTTTGATATTGAAGGCACGCAGCTGCCTGGCACAGAAACTCATGAGTCCAAATTACATAATCGTGGAAAAAGTTTCATGTACTTAAGATCACACGAAGAATATAATTATTGAAAACCTATCGAAGCGGACTGAATAATTTTGCCCCTTCGAAAAGCACCTACGAATTTTGCAGTTATTGAATAAAATAGGGAAACTAAACAGGTGAAAGTGGCACTTATCTCTGCACATCTCTCTTTATCACCCAAGATTCTTTTACCAAAATTTGACAAGAGAAAGAGGAAGCAATGCTGCAACAAATGACTCCGAGATCTTTTTTTAATTGATCCTATACGAGCTGTTTGACGTCTACAATTTTTAAAGTAGTAACTCTGAAAGCAGCGTTTACTTAAACTTACTCTACAGTTTTCCTTCATTCTTCAGACGAGACCTGATTATGACCCGGCCAGAGTCGCATTATGAAGAGCAAGAAGACCAAAAAAGCGGTACTTGTCAGCGTGGCGCAAACCGGCCTAAATCGCCCTTCGCGGGCCACTTTGAGAGAAACCAGCGTGAAGTTTTCTCGTATCAGTCGAGGCTGGGCGGGGGACTAATTGGAAGGTCCTTTATCAATCTGTCAAAATCCACACTACTTCCTCAGTTCTAGTGAGACACTGCCTTCACAGAACCGTTCTTCAACATTTGTAAGTCCCATCGAATTGCTCTAATTCTGGCAGTAACATGAATTTTTATTATACTTTCACTCTTCCCATAGCTAACAAGTAGCTGCTTATGAAATTTGCGATGAATAGGCGTTTGAACGCAGTGAATATGTTGCATATACAGCAACAAAGCTCATTTGTCCAAGAAACATTCACGCGAAATTTATTCATGTCGACGAAAACCACAGAATTTCCACATCTACACAACATTATACAAAATCGTTTCTTATCATATAAACATTCGCACATGGAACTATACTTCTGAGATCACGGAGAAAACTTACAATTTCCTGTTTTTGAAGTTCAGTTGCAGATGTTATTTTTCCACAAGCATATTCACTGTGCAGGCGAGCACTCCTACAAAGTGCAGACAACTTGTCCACTTTCTTTTGAGATTTGGAGCATAGTCTTTCTTTTACTAAATGCTACTGAGGAAATTGCAGCAAAAACCTTCAGTCGATATTGTTTTGTTTTTCTTTTTTTTCACGATGGGATTAGCTTTTAAAACTCGGTGATTTCGCTCGACTGCTTGTTTTGATAGCAATATGTAGGCGATGAAATTATCGTCAACGATTTGTCATCTTTGTAAGGGGTGGAAAAGATAACTGCACTTAGTTGCAAGCATAAACCTGAAAAGGTTTTTGAATTTTTTAGAATCCATGTTTTCCCGGAAGCGTTATGTGTGAGGTGTAGCTTTTTAGAAGCTCAATCATCTTGTGCGATCCTATCATTTTTTCATCATTGTTTTCCATCTGAAAGTGAGCGATGGAAAAAAAGACGACTTTTTCGTAACTCTTTGGCGGCCACTTTACATAAAGTACTTTGCTGAGGAGATCAAAGTAATCTGTTTATTCTAATTTTCTCATCTTCCAAAAGCTAAATTTTGCTCACACGCTTTTCTCAAAGGTAACAATCGATAATAAAAAAAGGCTTTGGCTCTAACACTGTTCGAATACATGCCTTACAGGTAAATCCAGCAATGTGGGTTTGGAAAGGATTCATCATTGCTGCTCTATTGGCAGTAGTTTCGACAAAATCCAAAAGTGACGACACGATCCAAAATCATCTTGCAATGAACTACCACCCACAAGAGTTCATAGCACCTATATGCATTACAGATAAGGATGGAAAATTATTTTGTTTGGACGAAGCAAAAGTTCGTTCATTAGTACATTTTTGCTTTTTACTCTCGGATTAACAAACCCTTCATCAATGCTATTATAGCGAAATTTCAGTGCAGTTCCTGCGCAACTATTAAGGATGAACGCAAGAAGGAAATATGCTTATACTACTGTGAGAGGAAAGCATTGAATCCAAGGAATAAGAATCAAGGAGTGTGAAATAGTGGCTGTCCTTTCGACTCGATTCACTTATAAAACATGCGTTTTCGAAGTTCAAATGAGGAATGGGAATTCCGCTGTTGCTCTGCCTGGTGCGCGGAAACCAAAAGTTAAATCTGTTTACATCATACTAAACTAAGATTGGCAGAGGGTAGGACTTTTTCAACTACTGCTAGCATTTCGAAGCGTTAACAGTTTTGCACGACATATGTAGTATCCAGCGTGATTTTTCTTAACATCGCGCGAGTGACAAATTAGATTTTCAACCCCTCACTGTTGAGCAGAAAGCACCCAAACTCGCTGTCCTATATGAAAGCGTCAACTTCACTGCTGTTGTAATTCAGATTATCAAAGGTTTTTCCCCCTGCACATTTTGCACGCAACTAGTCTTGCAGCATTTTGAAAAAAATCCTAGCGGCGAATATCGGACGAGAGTACTCAAATATTCTTCTTGAATTTCTAAAAGATGTCGTTTACCTTCCGCTACATATACCTTGTCAGCAAAATGCGCAGCACCAAACTTCTTGACTCCTCGAAGTACTTATTTCACTGAATTTAAAAACGGGATGTGAATTGCTGCTATCCGCTAGAAAGATTCGGCACACTGAGAGCGTACCATTTGATTCAACTGACTTGGCATCGGCAAAGGCGGGCTTCGTGACCTAATTAAGGCTAGGTAATGATCAGAGAGCACTCGCGCGAGAGAGACGCAGGTGCGTCGCGGGCGCGAGCGGCTTCAATTAGGTCATAAAACCCCGCCCTAATGGTGCCAGTTGAATCAAAGGTTATAAGATGCAATCTTTTGACACATAACTCCCATGCTGACCCCACTTGGCGACTATAAGAAGCAGTCAAGGCCTGGAATGTGCAGGAGAGATGAAGAACCTCTGACAAGTACCCTGCTCCAGCCTCTCCAAGAATGAGTCGCTGGCTAGATAATTTAAAGTAGGAAACGGTCAAAACTTAATCCAGCCAAGACAAGCTGTATATCGTCGAACTCGTTCTGAAACGCTGATTTCAATACATGTTCATTATCTGCCGTAACTTTCTGGACGAATTTAAAGGCAGTATATCGGCAGAATGAGACCCGTGATAAAACAAGGTCACAGGGTGGGTCCCCCATATGGAACCTATCGGCCAAAGTCCGATCTTCCTCTGCCACTTTTAACCCTCGAAATTTTAACTCGGAAGCAGCGCTGGCGCTGTGTATTCTCTGGTCCCGCCCACCATGGGGTGGGCGGGGCCGGAGAACACATTAGATGAGCGCTGCTTTCGCGTTGAAATTTTGGGGGTTAGAAGTGGCAGAGAAAGATCGGACTTCGGCCGATAGGTTCCATATGGGGGCTCCTACCCTGTGACCTTGTTTTGTCACGGGTCTCATCCTGCCGATATACTGCCTTTAAGAGCGTCCAAATAAGAGAGATTCGAGTTCAGGGCCCGGCACGAGTCGGTTTCTAGGGTTTCTGAAAACGAAGTCTCACCTGACTTTTGGAAGTTTTACAAAGTCCCCTTTTATCTACCTGCTTAGGAGAAGAAGAAAGCAAGAAAGATTTACTAATCAGAAAGAAAAGAAGTAAGATAAGAGTGAAAATCCAAATTGGAGCTGAATACTACGATACGTTGGCATTAGAGCGCGATATCTAACAAACCGAAAAGAAATGAAAGCAAAATACAAAGGAGAGGCAACGATATGAAAATTTCTTCATGGTCAGGGATGGATTTTTGATTGGGGAATCCGTCCATGCTAAAAAGATCCGAAACTTATGTGAAGTGACGAAAATATATGCTCCAGACGATTTGAGATCGTCTGGTGGCCGTCTGGAGACGATCTAATTTTGGAAAACGTATTTCTTCACATAAGTTTTCAAATCTTTTTACATAATTCTTACACACATAATTTTCTATACACACACTTCAATTTTGGTATCATATGATTCCGTATGCGCTGTAAACAAGCAATTTGTTGATTTTAGCCCTGCTTTCAAATCGCGCGCACTTTTCGCCAAACACGATAGAGCATGTCAACCGTGTGATAACCTGTCCGAAAAGCTTCTATTCGACTAAATGGCGCTTATTTTTGGTTTTCGGCCCCGATTCGTCAAAAACGATATCCCCTTTGCTTTTTGCTCCAAAAACGAAGTCCAGCCTGCTCCTAGACGATCTGTGCGGGCCCTGTTCGAGTTCTAATGTATATATAGTGGGTTCATAATTAATTATACGTATCATCTATTTTACGACTAGGAGACGTGAGATCGCACTGCGGACATTGTCTTGACAAGTTTGAGTTTGTTCTTCCCTGTTTTCAAAAAGTGAGTAAACCTTGGCGAGATAAATAACAAGTGTAAACCTGCTAAGCACACGATTAGGCTTGTTTAGACAGTGTGTGCAGTGCGGTTTCACGTCTCCTAGTCCTAGAATTAATGATACACCCATAAGTTAGGTTTTGAGACTTTTTGCAAGAAGCTTAAAATCCTTCCCATAGCTAATATATGAGTAGCTGACTATAAAATTGAGCGATTCTAAAACGAACGGCGTTTGAATATGATGAATATGTTGGCATATACAGCAACAAAGCTCGTTTTCCAAGAAACATTCACGCGAAATTTATTCATGTCGACAAAAGCGAAAGATTTTTCATATCTACACGATACTACGCAAAATCAATTCTTATCATATAAATATTCGCGCAATGCAACAAAGAACCTTGACTATTCTATGATCACAGAGGGGACCTACAATTTTCTGTTCCTAAAGTCAGTTACGTCTAGTAGATAGAGTTGATCCGTCATAGCGCTTCAAGCCACGTGCAAACAGCTGCAGGGCAATCGAAAGAAATCCAAATCAAGGTTGGAGTACACCGAGGTTCAGTTCTCCCTCCCTTGCTCTTCATCACTGTGTTGAACCCGTAATGGAATCACACGTAATCCTCCTTGGACACTTCTACGTAGATGATGTGGTCTTAGCAGCAAGTACCAGAAAGGAGCCGCAATACCAGGCACAGAAGTGGAAAAACAGCTTAGAGTTGTATGGGGTGAGACTCAACACCAAGAAGACGGAGTATATGGAGCTGGAGAAACAAACTCCAAGAACCATATGTATCGACGGTGAAGAGCTAAAGAAAACAACGTCATTCAAGTACCTAGGCCAGAGGGGACGCTTGCAAGAGGAATTCGCAGGCAGGATAAACACAGCGTGAATGAAATGGAGAGGTTTGACGGAAGTTCCGTGCGACAGACGAATGCCAGTACAGCATAAGTCCCAAACCGGACCGCCATCCTTCAAGCACCCTCTTTGGTAATGAATGCTGACTAAGTACCCGAAATGAGGCGCGCAAGCTTGGTGTCACGGAAACATCTTGACACTATACGAGCCCGAATGAAAGTAGCTTCAATTGCACAAAAATGCAGGAAAAGAGACTGAGATGGTACGGACATGTGCGCCGAAGGAAGGAAAACCATATTACGCGGCTAACTTTGACGGTGGAAGCACCAGGCAGGAGACCCAGAGGTAGACCCAAGGTGAGATGGATGGATAGGATCAAGCCCGCTCTGCGAGACTAGAATAGATGAAGACCTTGCTGTTGTTATTGAAAACGCTTCAAATTTGGAGAGTAATACAAGAACGAGCGCGATTTCGTTCCATACATTAGCTGAACACTATCACAAATAAATGCCGCTCTTAATTCTTGTACATTTCTCCAAGCTCGAAGTTTTTTCATCAGAAGTCGAACAGGGGTAGGGTAACGAAAGCCGCCAGCTTCGGTCGCCTGCGCGGACTGCTTTTCCTGAAACGACATGCAACCGAAAGCAAGCAGTAAAAGTTGTGAGAAGCAAAGGGGCTGAAAAACCCAGAAACCGGATATCAACAAAGAAGAATTTGCGATTTTCCAGTCGTAATGGTTTTATTAGTTTTCTCCAAAAATTTCGAGGATGCAGCGGCTCTCTGAAATGCAAAGAGAGTTAATAAAAAAATAACGAAGGAGAAGGGCGCGCAAAGGAAAATACATAATGAACGCAAAACATGGCAAAGTTTCATTCTCGAATCCCGCTTTAAGTTTTCAATTCTCTAGATCAAAGGAAGCAAGATGCGAGAATGAGACGGGTGCGGAAGATACTGTCTCTCTAATTTGCCTCCTAAAACATCTCACAGCTAAAGGAAATCTATACAGTTGAGCAGATTTTCCGCTTCATTCAGTGTGCTCGCACTGGTGCCTCTTTCTTAGTAATTCGGATCCAGTACGCTTTAAAATTCCGGCAGCGAAAGGTAACAGAAAAAAAGACAAGAACGCCGGCTTGTCTACATCATAACTTTGGGTCAATAGACGAATGTCCTTAGTTTCTATGCTATGTTTTCTGATCGCAACTTCTTCGTGAGAGATTCCGCAACTCTTTTCCTAGCACAACTGCGAATGCTTATTTTCAGAATATTTTGAAGTCACTCCTGCGCAGTAATTAACTTCTCAAGCTCTTGAAAACATAGCAATTTCTGGAAAGCGATGCGTTGCGCGACGCGTTGTGAATAGGGATAAGTCCACCCTTTGCAAATTACTAAAATGTATTTTTTTCTTGGAATTCATATCGGATTTACCGGAAGGACTGAGGATCACATTTTGTGAGATTATATCTGAGGGGCAGTACTTTTTCCACACCCTAGAGTTCGCTTTTCACGAAGTTCTGATACCATGTAAGCGAGGAAGAATGCATTCAGTCATGTGCCTTACCGCAGTAATCGATTGTTAAGCAGCTTAGGCTCCCGCCAGAGTGCCGAAGTTATGCCAGCGCTATGCCAGCATTTCGATCGATACACGTGTATTTCGTTGGGGCGGGGCTAGCTCAGCAGGTAGATGTCCCCAACAAAATACACGTGTATCGATCGAAATGCTGGCGTAGCGCTGGCATAACTTCGGCACTCTGGCGGGAGCCTTAAAGGCAGTGTCCTGGAAGATTTGCGCCCTGTGGGATATAGCTCTGGTGGGGCTTTTGGTCATCCCACTAACTTCAATGTCCAATCCGGCTGAGTTGTTCCTCCCGCCGCAAAAATAGCCCTTGAGCCGCCGCACGTCACCCCAATCGGTGCGCGCTCAGACGGCTTACCTGTTCAACGCAGGACCGCACGGCCGCTCCCGCATTGGGCATGTTTATCAAAGCAAAAATTACAGGTGGCAGGGTCTTTGTGGTAGGTCCTCCCAACCTTCCACTGAAACTTTCGTCCGAGCTGCACTTTGCAAATTGGATAAAAGCCTCAAAGACGGTGATTTCAACCGGTTCAAAGCTCAAATTCGGGTTCTATGTGTCGATAAGGCCTAAAACTTGCCGAAGGGTGGAAATGCAAAATTTGCCGGGGCACTGCCTCTAAACTTACTCTTTGAAGCGCACTGCTACCGTCCAGGCTTCTGCGACGATTGAGAATCTTTTGAAAACTGTAAATTCAAGGCTTGCAGAAAGGGGGTGAAAAGGGCCGTTTTGAAACAACACTCAATTGTGCTTATCAAAGGTCGAAAAGTTAGTGAAGCTGATATCTCAGCCAAGCAGGAGCTTCGGAACGGTGCCAGTAACGGCCTATTTTAAGCCTTTATAAATTTATCTGACAGCCTGACTTCCTCCCTCTTGCGCGTGCACAGAAAATTTGGTGCCTTGTTTTTGGCTCGTTGTAATCAAGGCAATTAACTGGAGCAAACTTCTAAATAATTATATGAAAATTGTGCGAAGTCGTGCTAAAGCATTCTGACCCTCCTTATCCTTTTCCAGGCATGGCTATCGCCGCGCGCCAAACACTTTGCAACGGCTTTTCCTCAAGCAAAGCGCACGGGAGACAAAGAATTACCACATGCATGACCCATTGAGATAAGCCATCAAGGTCGACCGCTAGATGTGGCCTTTGCGTTTTTTTGATTCTTCGATGATATCCAGCTTGCTTTGTTGAAACAACGCTGAGTCCTGTTTCTATTCCTATGCCATAAAAATGTTTATGCGTCTGGATGAGCAAGAAGAACTACTCCCCATGCTATGATTTTGTAGCCACATATATTAAGGCATCGTTCTAAAATAAATCACTGTTTTATGAAACCCTTTATCGTAAAAATACGATTGCAATCATGAGATAATGCGTTTGCAATATACATATGCATGCATAATAATGGGTCATTTCCTAAAGCATTGAAACTCCTCCTTATAGGCGCACACCAAATGCGAATCAATGTGTTTTTTTCATTTGCTTCCCAATCTTCGCTTCTTGAGTGCAATGACGTCTACACAGTCTGAAGCTCCATCTTCTAGTTTTTTGCAGTGACTCAATTCCTTAAGGAAAAAAGGAGGCTGTATAACTATACTAACTCTCTATCTCACAAGGATGAATAATTTAGATGTTGGTAGTATAAATGATGGAAAAAAGACCCTGAACAGGATTGTGGTTTGGGTCATTGCTTATGTACCACAAACTTTTTTTTCCTGTGAGTCAATGCTAATGACTGATTTTTTGCGCGAAACAAAAATCTCGACAGTTACTTAATGAATCACCTTCCGCGCGTAGCGTATTTTAACTAACCAGAGGCTTATAAAATGATTAAAATCTGCAGCTGCATAGCACCTGTGACTTTTTCGTTGTAATATAAGGTTGGGTCGAAAGTTGGACATTTTCAGACGAGATCCGCTATTTCTCAAAACTTAATGCATGTACATCCGAGAGAGACACCATTCGATAAAGCAAAGCAAGCTCTACAAGATGGTATGCAAAATTTCGCACCAGCTTCTACCCACCGTAAGTTGCATCCAGAATCTGAGCCGTTTGAAGGTTCGAAAAATTGGGGAAAATTAATGTCTTTGTCTAAATATTAGGTTGACGCAAAAGTTCTTTCGTACCAAATTCAAAAATCCATAACTTGTTGAGTTCCCAACGAATTTATAAGATCTAAATTTTGTATAAGAAAGGAACTAATGCTCTTTGCAAATGTAGCTGAACTGTTCGTTAATGTGTGCAAATGTAGGAGATAGAAGCTCAAAACCAAAATCACTCAAAATTTGGATTTTTCGTGTAGGGTCTTATAAAATCGGAAACTTGCAACAAAAGTCGATGCAGTCGGTACTAAAGATTCTTTCACCAGCTCTTCCTAACTGTGCAAAGTTTGCGCCGATTGAGCGTCTCTGTGAAAAGTTATGAATTCCCTGAAAAATGCCAAAATAAATCAAATTCGCCCCTTTGTATTGCTTGCTCGAAAATCATAACTTTTCATAGAGACGCTCAATCGGCGCAAACTTTGCATTGTTGGTAAGAGCTTGTGAAATAACCTACAATACTGACTGCTCCGATTTTTGTTGCGAGTTTCCGAATTTTATGACCCTACACGAATAATTCAATTTTTGAGTGATTTTGGTTTTGAGCTTCTATCTCCTTCAATTGAACACATTAACGAACAGTTCATGGAGAGTTGCAAAGAGCATGAGTTTCTCTGCTACGCAAAATTCAGACCTTGCAAATTCGTTGAGAATTCAACAAGTTATGAATTTTTGAATTTGGTGCGAAAGAACTTTTGCATCAACCTAATACAATAAATATACGGCTCTCCATGTTGCTCACACAAACTGCACACCACATTGGACACCCATATGTACCGTTCTTGTATTTTTTTCTCATTTAGAAATCGAGGAAATAAGAACTTTCTTGTTCATATAAAAACAAAGCTATGCTGTTTTCACTCATGTAACTGTAAAGTACAAACCGTTAGAAGTATAACCGCAAATTTTCAGCTCATTATAGGCTCCAGTTTCAAAAAAATTATCGAACTGAGCTTCTCTCCTCCCTCAAGTGTTCCATGCTAAAATCAACATTTTTTGAAAACTAGGGCTTGCGAAAAGCTAAAAATTGACGGTCATAATTTGGGTGGAAGCCACAGCTTCGTTTTTGTATGAGCATGAAAATTTACGTTTTCTCGATCTCTACATTAAAAATACACCAATGTCACATGTGGGTGTCTGATGTGTTGTGCAAACTGCGTGGGCAAGTTAGAGATCCGTATCTATTTGAACGAAGATACTAATTTTTCCCAATTTTCAAGCTTTCAGTGCGACTCAGTTTCTGGATGCAAACTCAAGGTGAGTCGAAGAAGGTGCGAAATTTTGCATACCATTTTGTAGAACTTGCTTTGCTCTATCGAACAGCACCTCTGTTGGATGTATAAGCATTAAGTTTCGAAAAATAGAAGTTCTCGTCTAAAAATGTTCGAGAATTTTTGAGCCAACCTAATTAAATACTCAAGTTAATGCTTGAAGACAGAAATGACTTAATGCGTGTGGAGTAACGTGACCTTTTTAGTAACGTTTTTTATAAAAAATATTTTTTCCAGAAAATTGCACAAACTGGAATATTTTTTTTTGTAAATTTTTAGGCATTTCAAGCCTGCACAGCGACTTATGACTACCGTCGTGTTAAGAAACTCGACAGCCTTTTGGATAGCGGCACACTAGTACAGTTCAAAAGCAAAGTCTTATTTACAAATACCAGATTGTCTTTCATATATGCCTTGTTCTTCAAGCCTTTCCAACGATAGTTAATAAATTACTTGTAGAGTTCAAAACTTATTAGTAAACGTTACTGATTTAGTCAACTAACGCAAGAACTTTCATGTCAACCCAATATCAGAAAGAAAATCAAATTTTGGAACTTCTGGGCAATTTTTTTAATTACTTTATGTTGCACACACCTTCTTTTGAGTTATGTAGGCTGCGTTCTCAGACAAAGATGCAGTCGTTATTCCGCAAATTTTATCATTGCATGTAAGGATTGAATATATTTACGGTAAGGAGTTACCACTGGTAGCAGATTCGGCTGGAACTTTGATTAGAGATGTTATTCGAGCTTCTATTCACGAAAAATCTTTACAAATAAGAGTCTTGCTTGCAAAACTAAGGCAAAACACAATATGTTTTTCACTTTGACAACAAACGAACGTAATGTTCTTGTTGATTAAGCTGAATGACCAAATGCTCAAAGTCTTGAACGAATATGTTTTCAGAGAGAATACATGATTTGCTTCACCTTGAGATCAAACGAACATCTTGCTGCAATGCAATGATTCCAAAATAAATGCGCCGTATCAAGTGAATGTTGAGAGCTTCGTTCCAATTATAGTTTTTAACTCAATATATCGAGTTAAAAACTATATTGTTCCTAATCCACCGTGTGAATGGCACTTTTAAGGCAGTAAAATTGATCCACCTTGTCCATTTCGCTAGTGTTCGAACAGTAAACTTGGCCAGTAACGAAGGGATTGTCCACTTGATTCACTTGAGCAATAGGCTCTGCTCCAGACCGTTCACTTTGACCAGCAGCGAAGTGAATGAATTGGACCAAGCGGTTCAAGTGGATCGACCGTAAACGAGTAAACAAATCGCAGCAAGAATCAGAAAGCTGCGCAAAGTACGCATATCTCTGTCGCCTCTGAAACCATTGCAGACACTATCATCAACGTGCTGAAGGCAATAGTCGACATAAAAAAAACTCGACAGCAGGTGCACTTTTTCGTATTTTACAGGTAATCCCAACAACAATGTGGATGCGAGAATTTATCCTTGCCATTCTGTTCGCAGCAGTGACGGCAGAGATGACTTTGAAGGAAATAAAGACTATATTAGATGTAACAATTCCTCCTTTGCAAATATGTACAGTGGAAAAGGATGGACAACAAAAATGCGTGGATGCTAAGACATATGTCCTTTTATCACTATATTTTCATTCTCATTCTAGAGTCCTTGATGTCGATGATGTCTATTTTCAGTGCGATTCCTGCAAAACGATGAAGGATGAAAGCAAGAAGAATTGCTTATCTTTTTGTGGGAATGACAAAAAACATATTTGATTAACGTGACCAGTCATAAAAAGCTGCATTTTCAAATTACTTGAAGTTTTTTTTGGATGTAATTTCCTCTAAAGAAATGCTAGATCTAAAAAAAACAGAAGCCAGTTGTGCTGACACCTCATGCTTAAATAAGGTTGATGCCGCCACACTCTTTGCGTAACTTGTCCTAAGGGAATGGTCAGAAGTCGAAGTGGCCAATCCAAGCAAGCTGCCTGCCATTTAGTGCAGCATTCAACGCTGATTTCGAATTTGTGTTCCACATCTGCTCAGCGCCTTTGTGGACGAAGTCACGAGCAGTTTATTGCGAAAAAATCGCACATAAAAATTGTGAAATTACACATTGTTGCACGTTCAGCTCACCTCCAAAGTTTAAGAAAATAAAGTAATTTAGTTGTATGTAGCCCAGCATTACAACATTGACGACATGGCCGATTTTTCGATTACTGCCATTTCAGACAGGAGCCTTTTTTGCTCTGCCAAGCTTACGACCCAACCGTGGGTCGTATTGTCCGAAATGGTAGTCTTTTTGGAAGAAATTCAGAACATGTATCCGAGAATTTCAAAACAAGGATTATCGAGCGCGCTGATTACCAAAATATGATTTATTTCAGTTTTTGGCTTTATACGGTAAGGTTATGGTAGTCATTCTGTACGAACCCAACATCATGGATTCTCATGAAAATTTGTGTATTGGGGTTATTTCACGTGCTGATCACGATTATAGTGTCCACTTTGTTCAGTACATTCTCACGGTGAGACTACGGTAGCAGTACTGTCGAATTTTCGTAGAAATCAAGAATTTTATGTTAGAAGGTAATATCAAAAGTTTAGACTATCATTTTCGTAATCAGCATGCTACAAAATCTATATATGCAAAGTTCGAGCTTCCTAGGATGAAAAATGCAAAAAAATCATTAAAATCAATGAAATCGATAATTTTTTGATGGGCTAACGTCAGCCTCTTGCCCGCCCCGTATTACTCTTACATGTAAACTTGATTCTCCAAAAACAGCATCATTTAACGAAGAATTTGAGCTAAAGCTTGTGCCTTATATATATCTACCGTATACCTACCGTAACATTACATTACGGTACTCCGAGCCCGGACCACTCTGGCTGGAGCTTTGCCTAAGTGCGCCTAATCATGTGGCAGAACCCCGTAGAATTCCGTCGTAAACTGGCAAAGACAGCGCTTCATGAACCTTACGACCCATCGGTGGGTTGTATTGTCCGAAATGGCAGGATACGTACGACCCACCGGTGGGTCGTATTGTCGTCAATGTGTTAAGACGAAAATGGGTCTGTACCTACTAAATTTGCGCATTGCATGCACTTCCTAGGAAAACGACGCCTTTAACGGCTCATAACATCACCCACATAAGCGCGCTAAGCAGATATGGAATACAAACTCGAAGCAGCGTTTTGTGCTGCATCTAATGGATGCAACTTGTTTGGATTGACCACTTAGATTTCTGAACTGTCCTTGTTAGCACATTCCTGTCCCTTTATTTGCTGAACAAAAAGCCGCCGAAGAGTGTTTAGCGGTGCTATGTTGAAGTGCCATAACGTTTTTATGTTCGTCTATCGCTGTATATCGGTTTTTAGAAGCGTAAGAATTCCACCCGTTTTCGTTTGGCACTCTTGTATGCAACTAATCTCGCAACACTTCAAAAAGATTAAAGCTAACGGCGAAATAGCTGCTGCGAACACTAATTGTTTTAAGCGGTCGATTTCAGGCAGATGTCAGTCTAAGTTTTGCATCTTGTCGACAAAGTGCGCATCATGGGTTCTTTTTTGATTGCATGATAGTTTTGAACGAACAGAGTCTAAAAACTGTGATAAAATTCGCGTCACCTAGAGAATGAGTTTCACAGAATATTTCTGAACTAAGGCTAACAAGGAACGCATGTATAGTCGAGGTGGCCTTTCTGGATAGGAAGTATGCCGTACTGAAGGGCATAGAATGCTGATTCCAAATCTGCCTTCCTTATCTGCAGAACATTTATGGACGAGGAGTTATGAGCGCTTATTGGAGCAAAAAGTTGAATTTGCAAGTAGAACAAAAATAGCCGTTGTACTTTTTTTAGCTCTTAAATGAAGCAATGATGTCTTCAGAACACTTTGTTCAAGAAGTACTCTAAATGGAAATATATATCACACTTGAATGCATTGTTTGAGGGCTAGTAAGACTTTAGCAACTCAATTTATCCAAAATGCATATTCAATTTTTGGTAAAAAACGCTCATAGCTCCTCGCCCATAAACGTTCTAAAGACAAGAAAGGTAGGTTTGGAATCAGCGTTTCTGCCCTTTAATATGGTATTCATCTCATTTAGAAAGGCCAATTCGACTAAACGAGTTTTCCTTGTAGGATGGCAATTTGAATTTGCTACTCTCCAGTCCACATACTGGAAGCAAATGCATACGAAACAAAAAATATCAAACTCTCATGCGACACCACTACTCAGACAACTGTATCGGGAAGTTCGCGGGCGCTTGCTCGGCCACCAATCATCCATGCCGCGAGCTGCCCGGCATTAACCGATATTGTGCCCGATAGGCGACCGCGGCGCATCCTGTAAACGCCCAATGGTTGAACCGATTATCATGCTTGTGAGGCATAAGAAGAGTGAAAAATGCTTTCGCCTGTCTTTCATGACAACGACTTGAGTGCAAATTGAGCAACTTGTTAGCTCACCTGTTGACATCATCTATTGTCGTCAATAATACTCATCCAACTGCTGAATTGCACTTGATTGCTTTTCGGGGCTGTGAACAGATTGCTGCCACGCGGGACTTACACCAACGCACGCACAGTGAGCAACCTCAAACTTGGGTAATTAAACTTTATCAACAATAACTAAGCAACAACTAAATCAACGAAACTTAACACAAATAAATAACTAATCCTAAGGGAACTAGAGAACCTAACTAGCTCAAAGGGATGTGATGTTCGCAAGCAAAAGGAACTGTGATGAAAGAATCGAACCCAATGATGACTATAAAAAATGCGAGCAAGGAAATCAAATACTGTGACAATCTAAGTAAAGCAGACAAACTACAAGTAATATGACTGTGATAATCAAGAGAATGAGTAAAATGCTATGATACGTGTTTTAGGGACTGTGACTGTGTGCTATATTCAAAAGGCTGTGATCTGAGGAAAGGAGGAAGTATTATAAGAGACACAACGGGAATAAGGCGAGAGGAAAAAGTAAAATAATAAAGCAAGAAAAGAAAAGAAGAAAAGTGAAACAATAAAACAAGAAAAGAAATGTCTCATACACGCGCATTATGGTCGCTGTGTCTCATTATCGACTTATATATCGAAACATCGGAATTGGCTACGCGATCTGTGATTGAAGTCACTCTTGGGCATGCATCCGTATAATGTTGACCGAACTCCTTGCAAAAGATACACATGATGAGCTGGCCCGCTTTCAATCCTCCATCACCTATTCGTCGTACCGGGCACGAAATCTTTCGCAGCTCAGTCTGTGTTCTTTCGAGTTCCTCCTCGTAGTTGGCCAAAAGCTCCTCATAGTGCTGACGTCGGTCTCTGTCTCCTGTTCCGGATATCTCCGTTTGCGACCTTCTGTGTGCTCGTGGTGTCCCCTGCGATCACTGAAGCTCTCCTTCCTTGCTCTACTGCCGCCTGTGGATTGAGAGCGTCTGTGATCTTGACGGCTGCCGACTGTGGATCGAGAACGTCTGCGTTCTTGACGGTGATCCTTTGGCGGTGCCTCCTCTCTACGCTGTTCAGGACTTGCCTTTGAGATCTCCTTCGTCAGCTGATTCAAGAACTTCGAATTTTCATCCGTAAGCTGACTCAAGAACTTCGAGTTTTCCCTGATTCTTCGCTCCGATTCTTCTTTGAACTGAGCACCAAGTCCTAGCAACTGCTGTTCCAGGCAGGAAATCCTCTGCTGTAGTTGTCCGAGCTGTGAATCGAGTTCTGCCTTTACGTCCTTGGTGCACTCCTTTCTCTCTATCGACAATTGTTTGCATTCTGATTGTAGGCCTCTTCAATCCATTTCCGAGTATGTTCGTGTTGTTGCCGGACTTCGCGCTTGAGCTGTGAGATTTCGTCTGCAAGGTTCCTTATATTCCGACCATTTGCTTCGGTGACTTCCGCCTGACGCGATCCTCTTTGGCGTTGCCACTCTTCCGTGAAGGCTGTGAGCGTTTGTTGAACTTCCTGATAAGCCCTCATTTCTGCCGCCCTGCTCCTGGTGGTTTCTTGCTCCACATCATGTAGTTCTTCTTTCTCATCATGCGTGAGCGTTTCGTACCCTCTGCGATAGGTTTGGACGATCCGCCCAACGTCATCCTTTTCATAGCTGTGAGAGACGGCTTCCGGCGCTGGGTAACCTTGGTCTGTGGGTCTCGTGGGCCTCATAGTCACATGTTGCCCAATCGCATCCAGGTACATCACACGATCGATTTCCTGTGCATCTCCCACTGCGACTAGTATCTCGTACCACTCATGGGCCAAGTAAAACTGGTCCATCCAGTGGGTCAACTCTCTCAACTCATCTAGATGCTTCGCTCTCATGTCCTTCAGCTTCAGGATGTAGTTGATTGACTCCTTGACCGTGTACGTCATTTCCCAGCGATTCCCTTTCAACTCGATATAGTCCAGCTTCGCTTGCGTCAGACGGTCTTCAAAATCGTAGCATTTGTCGCCGAAATCCCTGATCCGCTGCTGCACCTGTGCCACAGTGGGTTTCGCCGGTGACTGTTGAACGATGGTTACTTTCCTCTCGATCTCCTCTCGGAGTCTTCGTTCGAGCTCTGGGAAGAAGTCCGCCATGCCTCGAAAGTCGCAATCTGTGAAGCTGTGCTCTTCAATCTGCAAAGAAAGCGTTAATTATGCAATCGACATATCACCACCGTGCCTTCCGGCCTCAGCAGACAAATTGGCTTTTGTCTGATTTTCTGTGACCCCCAAGTGTTATGGCTTACGTCTCTATGAGCCGGTGGTGATTGTTTGGGATATTCTGGAGCTTAT